CTCGCGAGTAGCTCGGCTCGCGTACATCCCTAGGTGGTACCCAATCCACCAGGGCAACAAGACATGAGGAGTTGGGCCTGATCGAAACAAAGATTTCGTTAAAGATAGGCACTAATCTGTGCCACTATTCTATTTTTATTTTGACGAGACCATATTACCTCCTCTCTAATTTCATTTTCTTGTCTATGAGTTAACTTTACTAGATTTTCTCTTACATTCTAAAATCAATTAATTATTCCATTACACATTAAAATGGCCAATTTAAAATTGTCACTAACATGCATTATGTATTTTCTACAAAAATTTACGAAATCTTATGATGTCAAAGATCTATCTAGCAATGTAATATGAACAAATTCCAAATTTCAAGTCCAAAAAATAAATAAATAAAAAAATCCCAATAATCAAAGATGAGCAAAATATGAGTATAATTACAATGTCTCATAAATAGGACATTAACACTTCAAAAAATCTACTAAGAATAGCTCATATAGCCACCATAGAGGGAGTGAAACTTTTTAATATGTTTCAACAAAAGTATGACAGCATCTAGTATCCAAATAATGCAATGGAACCTTAATTGTGCTCGTAAAAATTCTGCAAAATTGAAATTAAAATAAGAATATGAAAAATAAATTAAAAATAGTTATGTAGATTTAGAAAAAAAAGATGCAAAAGTTAATTTTTTTACCTTTTGGATACGTACGACAAGTGTGCCCAACTTCCTTACATATGAACACAAGATAAGGTAGGAAAAAAAATTAGAACAGTAGTAATATGGTATCATTAAGATGAAAATGGGGGGTAGTAGGAGTGCAAATAACATAAAGGGAGTGCAAATAACATTATCTAAAAAAAACCAATAGAAAAAAAATTACTAAAGATATAATTAGCCTGCTCAACTATCTATAATGCTTTGTATCCTGTCTAACGAAATTTATACTAAGATATTATTCTTATTAGATATGTTAATGGGTAGGTCTGGATTGCATTCTTTTGATCTAGATCCAAACCCATTAAATTTAGTTGAACTCAGATCCAGACCAGACCCTTATGAGTCTGAAAAAATAAGTCCAAATTCAGACTCTCATGGATCTGGATACCCATGGGTACCCGCTATATTTTTCTAAATATACTAAAGTAAAAATGTATTATATATATATTTCAAAAAAAATATACACACCACTCAATTTTTATTTTTAAATAATAAAATTAATATTCAAGAAATTGAATGCAATATTATGTACTCAAAAAATAACTATTATCTACTGCTTCGATTTATTTTTTAAATTTTAACTATATCTACGTCTAATCTTTCATTTATTTGCCTTTATTTTGTCTTCTTTTTATAAAAAAGATTGTACTAATCACAATGACAACTAGGATTAGTTAAAAAAAGCAAACAATTAAGAAATCTTTGTATTCGATTCAATGACCATAAAATATTAGAATATTTTATAAATTTACTAATATATATATATATACATAATTTAATTATGTATACATGGGTTTGGATTGGGTCTGGTATGTATTTGGATTTGGATATGAATTACAAAAAATCAGACTTTTTCTAGATCCATAACTCTTTTACAGGATCTGGATCTGGATAGGATCTGTATTTAAAAAATTAAATTCAAACCCTATCCAAGTACTTTGGATTTGGGTTGAATTTGAAAAAGATCCGATGTATTGACATACCTAATTCTCATGTATAAGCCTTCTAGTTTGATTCTTGATGAACCTAAATCTAAAGGCTTTTGTAGCTCATCAAATTGAATTGCAAGGCTTGTTGCAACTTTTCCAACCGTAGAAGTACAAGAGTCGGCTTGTTTTTCTAGTGGCATTTGGCTATCTTGGAAGGCTTCAAAGATTGGCATTTGACTATCTTATTCCGAAATCCATCATCAGCTTAATCTTGGGACTCTATTTCAACAGGTAATCTTGGAAGTCAGTCAATATTACTTGAAGGTGATTTAATCTTGTTTGGTGAGCCTTCAATCCCGTAAACAAAGATTATGAGACATATATGGAGATTTTCTTATGGTACATCAGCCCAGAAAATTAATTTGAAAAATTCTAAGTTGTATGCCTCACCCTAATGTTAGTGGGTAGATCCACTGCTAGAAAGTTGAGTCGATGCACTCAATTTCCCCTGATGAATAAAATATTGGACGTTATTTGGGATTTCCAATCATTCAGAGCAGAATCACTAAGTCGACTATACATGTATTATGTACTTTTGTTGACAAAGTGAGGAGCAAATTATCTAATTAAAAAGAGAAAAGTCTTTTCTGGTTTTCTTTGTGAAAACCAAAATCCCAATAGTTTGAGTGAGATTATGAATTTGGCGATATTTGTCAAACTTTATATGACTAAATGAAGCTTTTTTGACAATTATCTCAATTCATAATCCAGTTAAAAATTTCAGGCAAGTAGAGAGATACTGGATGTCTATTTTTCTGAGAACATATCTTCCTCGAAATCACTTCAAAATAGCCTAGTTTAGACACATGCACGCAGATAAGGTGTTAATCAATAGTTGAGTAATCAATTTTCACGGCATTCAACCCTTCATGTTTCATTTTGTCACATCCCATACTTATTGAGAAAGCCTAAAATAAGACATTATTCCTACACCTACACGGCAGAATAACTTAGAAAAGGCAATGAGAAGTACTAATTGATGTTCAGCAATCTGGGTGGAGTGAGAAGTTCGTATGGACTATAACATTTAGACATGGTGCCATTTCGGAGACCCCGTGCCGGACTAAAAGGACTGCAGGAGCCATACGCAAATCCACCACCAGCTGATGAATCAGAATCATCAACCATGGCCTCTTTCCCGCTATCCATCTCAGCCAAAACTTTGTAAAAAAAGATCAATATCACATGGAAGCAAAAGAGGGCCTTCATTGCTATATGCATACTCCAATTCAGCATCTTCAAGCAGCATCTTGAACAGCGGATGATTAGCACATTTTGCCTTGATCGACAAATCTTTGTTTCGCAGGACCAACATACACTGAAAAACAACCTTTAGCGGCAATCTTATACCTTGTTTTGTACTCATCATGATTTTGCTGGGATTTTTCAGCTGATCCAACACAATGCCATGATTTACTCTTCGACAAAAAAATGATTGTAGCACCCTCCATTCTTGAAGATTTTGGAGAAATGCTTTCAAAAGATAAAGAAACCACTAATTTCTTGATCGTTGAATAGTTCTTCCATTTGCTCTTTCCACTATCCATAAGCCAAGGCAAAAAATTGTTAAGTTGTCAGACCATACAAAATTACAAAAACTACCAATCATGAAAATCACAAATACTAGTGCTACTATATACTTGCAATACTCGAGCACTTTGGCTTCGCTTTGGCAAATTCTAGTTAGTAATTTTTCTATTTCTGCTGTCATATATATGGCCCTTAGGAGACAGTCGGATAAGGGATGAAATTGATAAAAGTGCGCTGCTAATTTGATCTATCCGGCAGTCGGAGAGGCCGCAAACGCTGTATAGTTCCCCACAGAAGGTAAATACTAATGACCCAAATTATCTAACGTCCTATGTGAACTCATGGACTGGACAGCCTTGAGATGTGGTGAACAGATACCTAATTGAATGTGAATAAAAAACATCAGCCCTTTTTTCTTGATTGATTTTTTTTTTTTTTTTGTGTAAAGAGAAATCCATCAAGTAATTAGTTGTTTGAGACGATAATGCCTCGAACAACCGATTGGCTTGGGAAAAGATAAAGCATGATTTGTTTTCTCGTTTTTGAGAGGTACGCAATTGTTGTTGATGGGACGGCATGATTATTGTACCATAGAGCTTAATTGTCTTAACAATTTTGAAACCCAAAGAAAAGACTAAATCTCAATAATTTAAGCCTCAACAACTCAAAAATGAATCTTTGTTTTTTTTGTCAATCAACAGCAATTCAAAAATGAATCATGAATGCGGTGAATTTTCCTCCAATATCTCGTGTCTTTCAAGAATCTAAACGATTAGCATTTTTTTTTTCTTTCTTTCTTTTTTAGTTTAAGAGGAGATTTCAAACCTTTTCTAAAAAATGAGTTTAAAAGTTGAATCAAGAATTTTATGATCACGTACTAGTATTCCTACCAACTAAGTTAGGTATTAGGTACAAGAATGAGCCTTTTATTCACACCTTTAGGCATGATATATTTGAACCCAAATTTGTTTAAATTTCTGTGCCTTTATGTCATTGACTATTCAATTCATTCACCAATTATAAGAAATTTCATAGCAGAATCAGGTCTATATACTTTCTTAAGTTGCTATATATACACGTTTTAAACTTTGCGCTTTTATAATTTTAATTATTTGTTTAGTTGGCAGGATGCAAAATTGGTTTTGTAGTGCCTGTGTACTCTTTAAGCCGGATTACAATTCCTTGTACCTAAGATTCATATATAACGTCCAAGATTCACACCCACTTTGCCTTTTCCTTTCAACTTATTTGTGCCTTGAATCATCATCTGTAGTGTTTAAAATTATGTGGGTTTAAAAAATTTCAAGAAATTTGGAAATTAATGATCTCATATTTGGTCCAACAAACTCGTTTCCATCGTTCTTTTTGATCACGTAGCAAATTTTGAATAGCTAATACTAAATTTCCATTAGATCTCAGAACTTTTAAAATTTGTCATTGTTCTTCATGCCTTTAGGATTAATGATGGTCCAGTTAGATGATTAATCCTTCACTTTCTCTCCAAAATTAATAGTACTTTCTCATGATGCTCTTTGGTACTGCTAATATGTAATTTTTGCTTCTTTTGCTCCCTTTTCGATTAATTTTATGATTTTATCGAATCGAAAACAGATGCTTTCTATCGTTCACATAACAAAAATTGGGACGAAGAATATAGATTATTACTCGTAAAGTTAGATGATTAATCTTTGACTTTTGGAGCGAAGAATATAGATTATTGCTCGTAAAGTTTGTTGGAATATAGATTATGCATAGAAAAGTTTTCATAGCATGTAATAGTTTCTGTATAAAAACCGAGAAGTCACATATATATTATATAGGCCTTCTCACTTACGGAAATTATCATTGATAATAATAATTAGAGAGAAGGGAGTCAAGGGACATAGCATAGGCAGGCGCATCTATGGCCATGTAAAAAGGGACATCTCGCTGTGGAGTTTGGCCACCTCGCGTGGCAATCTCTAACACATTGCGCTACGCTTGATCTGAGTCCAAGGTGCTTTAGCGTAACTTTGGAATCCTCCAACCCTCCTGCATTTGGGACTTCTTCAGCTGTACATGTGAGAAAATTTCTAGGTTAGTATTAATTCTAAGTTCACAAAAAACTCATAATCCAACAACCCTCTTTGCTTTTCTTTTTAATCATATGCATTGATTTCGTTTTTTCGATGCGAAAATTTCAGTTTTATATATGTAACTTAAAACTGGTCTAGTTTTCTCTGTCAGGTAGGCAATGTGTAGCAAGTCTAATTAAAATGGCCATATCTGCCAATCCAGCGTACATTTGTCTATTATTCTTTTTCATAACAACAAGGATTGAGAGAAGAGAGTGAAAAGGAAAAAGTACCAAGATTCATGACAAAGAGGAGCGAAAGAATGCAGCAGAGGAGAAGAACTTTTGACATGTTGCAAGACTGATGGGTGCAAATGCAAGTGTTGGGTACTTGAAACTCTGTCTTGTGGATCCTTTATACAGGCCATAGAGTGGTGTGTTCTTTTTAATGACGTCTTCTTAAAGATGAAATGGAAATGAGATATTAGCAAAATAAATCAATTCAACCCCCAACTACATTCATCCATCCTATCCTAGGATAGGAGTTTGAGATAACTCATAAAGTTTGTTGGGATTACTTTATATGCATTAATTACTGCCTCCGTCCGGTAAAGATAGACCTATTTCTTTTTTTACATAAATTAAAAAATTTAGCTAATATAGTTACAATAATTATTTTTTTGTTCATGCTTTCCTCAAATACCCCTTGTTAATATTAGATCATTCATTCAAAGTAAGAGGTTCATATTACTATATTATTCTTGGAACTTAAGGTACTTTAGTTTTTCAAATACAAGAGTCAATCAAATTAATGTTACATGTTTGACTAAAATAAATAACAAAAATAAAATTGCCAAACAGTCAAACTTTTCAATTTGGACCCATTAGAAGGCGACTAATGTGTGTTCAAAAATTTGTAATAACTATGTACATTAAATATGGGTATATTAGTAAAATAACAAATTAACTATTCTTTAAAAAAGGAAATAAGCGTATAATTTGGACACACACAAGAGCAAAGTCAGTCTATCTTTACGGACCGAGGGAGTATATGTTGACCAACTTTATTCATCCTAATTTTGTTGTTATATTTTATTGAGTTTTCAATTTACCTACATCAAAAATTTGTACACGTTAAATCACCAATTCGAGCATATCACCGTGCTTACAAGGTGAAGTAGAAGTTCTGATATCTCGGAGTAGCGGATTCTCAGTTTTCAGTCTTGACTCGATTGAGAACTCGACCATAGGAAAAAAAAATGAAAAATCAGTCATTTAAGAAAACCTTACAAAGAGAAGTGTTTCAATAGCATAATTTCCTACTACTATAGCATAAGTTGGGCTAATGAGTGCATTAGGTCTGGTTTGATTTGGATGTAATTGCAGTTAGTCAGGTCCATGAGCATTGCAAGATGATTTTTATGTCTCGTACAGATAGGGATTGTAAAACCCAATATCCATGGGTATCGTACCGATGATTAATTTGATTAGATGACTGATGGGTTATCTATTAGGATTTGGTATTAATGAATAGTTACCAATGCATAATCTGATAAGATTTGATAAGAGGACCCTAAATGCTTGATATTCGATATATATATATATATAAATATAAATATAATATGTGTGTGTTTTCCAATTTAATAGTTCGATAACACGTTTCGTAATCTTATGATCCAATATCATAACACATAGCCCTGACCTAATACAAATAAAGATAATCATAATTAAAATAAAAAAAATGTTGATTTAACCCTTCATTGAATGTTGAATTTTTCTCATGCAAGCTCTATAGCTTTACACAAGTTTAAAACTCAATACAGTGTGCTTATTTAATATGATGTATGTATTGGTTTTAGTTTAATAAACGCTAATTTTTTTTTTTGAACTATTCAACTTAGTGGATACAAGGTACCCAATGGGTAATCCAAACCCACGATTAAGAGGATTTGATAATGGAATTAAAACTAGTAGAATTATCCAATAGGATTTAGTAAAATATTTAGATATGTGGGATAGAATTTGGTTAAAGAGATCTTTTAGGGCATCCAACCCGATGCTAGCTCTAATTACAAACAATACGTAATCAAAACCTAGTCCTTTGTTTAAAAAATAAAGCGAAAATTGGAAAACAAGAAAGTTGAGGTTGATTTGCAACAGTAGAAATGACTAATGAGTCACACCAAAGCTTTTAGTATGATAATACAATATGTGACATTGCACACTAATTTGACTCACTTTGTCAATTTTGGGGGTTGAAGTCAAGTATCTCATCTTGTTTCCAAAAAAAAAAAAGAAGAAGGCATTTTATCTTAAGAGAAGCCACGGTTCACGCTACTCTAATCCTCCCTCTTTAAGAGAAGCTAGTATTTATTAACATATATAATAAATGTGTGAATGCAATTGCCCCAATTGAACCCAAATGCTGACGTGGCGCTCTTCCATTGGTTGGTTGGTGATAGTCCTTCAATTGATTCCAATTTGATGAGTTGTCGTCCTCTGATTCGTCGATTGGTGGTAGTCCTCCCAATTGCATATTAAATTGATGATGTGGCGAGTTTTGATTGGATGAAAAGTAATAGTCCTCTAATTGCATGTAGGATTGTGCTAAAATTTTGCTTCTTACTTTTTTATCCAACAAATCACATTAACAAAAAATTTGGATTCCTTTTTTTCTTTGTTGTCCGTCAAATCACATATAATTACCAATTCTTTGCAATTAATTGTTAATAACTAATTTAATGTCATGTTTCTTGTCATTCAACAGATCGCGCTTGATGAGTTGGGTCGTGTTTAATTACCGACTCCTTCAGTTATTACCAAAAAAATTATATATTTTAGGGCGAAACAAATAATAATTATCATTTTTTACCGTTGATTGTTAGCAATTATTTATTGCTTTTCGTTGGCCTTTTTTAGTCTTCCGCCAAATTGCATATATTTACTGATACTTTGCAATTCATTGTTGCTGGCTGCTTAATAATGGTTTTTCCCTTGCTGTCCAATGGATCGCGTCTAATTAGCGATTTCTTGCAGTTGTTAGGCAAAATAAAAGGGACATTTTTCGCAAAAAAAATAATATTTATCAACTGTTTTATTTTATGGATGTTATAAAAAAAATGCCCTTTTTTCTGTTAATGTTTCGTTAGTTAATTAATACTTCAATTTTTTCCCCGGTTAATGGTTTGCTGGTTTTTTAGCTTCTTTTTTATGCTCCGGCGGATTGTATGAGCAAAAAGTGTCCTTTTTTTCCTCCTCCACCAAACTGCATGTATTTACTGGCGCTTTGCGCTTTAATAGTGCCTTTTTTTGGTCATCCAATAAATCGTGTTTAATTAGTGCTCCCTTGCAGTTGTTAGCCAAAAAAAACCATTTTTGTTCCAAAAATAAAAACAAATTTAATCTGTTTTTTTATTTTCTTTTATCAAATAGATGCTTTTTTGCCATTAATGCTTCGTTGGTTAATTAATAATTTCGTTTTTTCCCCTTTGATGATTCGTTGTTTATTTGGCCGCTCTTCTTTTTTTGCTCCGGTGGATCGTCTTAACAAAAAAAAATGACCATTTTTTTCTTCCACCAAACTGTATCTATTTACCAATACGCTACAATTAATTGTTAATAGCTATTTAATAATGTCTTGCTTTTTATTGTTCATCTAATGGATCGTGTTTAATTACCGGTTCCTTTAGTTATTAAGAAAAAAAAATATTTTTGCCAAAACAAATAATAATTATCATTTTTTAACGTTGATTGTTAACAATTATTTATTGCCTGATCTGACCCAATATATTGGGTTAGCAAAAAAGTGCCTTTTTGCCTACTTACATTCATATTTACCTATCAATTTTTCTCTGTTAATTGTTGCCTTTTCCTCGTCACTTTTTTTTTTTGTTATTGTTAATGATTACTTAATTAGTTGGCCTGCATTTTAGCTGTTCAAAATAAAATTTGCCTCTCTATTAGTATTTTTTCCTTGAACAAAATCTTTTTTTTCGTATATTTGTCTAAAGAGTTGCACTTTCCGTTGCTGGCATCGATTTTTGCAATCTACTTTCTGCATCTGCGCATCTTAATCGAATACATCCTCAGCCATCACTTCTGATTACTTCCATTTGGTGGAGAGTTGTATTTGATGGGAAAGTTGGTACCTCTATTTTACTAAACTACCCAGCCTTTATCTTTCCGTTTGCTCAGTTTCTCTTTTTTCCTTATTTCCTGCTCATGGACATATTTGTAAAAATGAAGTGACCGTCATTGTTGCCTTCTGCCAAACATCACCTTTCAGCCTTGCTCTGTTCAGGGATAATCCGTTGTTTTCCCTTTGTACAGTGGTTGTTACCATTACCTGGTTTGTTCTAGCAGAACCTCGGCGGCTTACCATCATGATCGGCGGTAGATCTACAGCTGCTGCATCCTCCCTTCTAATCCCTTTCGGCTGCTTTTTTCTCTAGACAGAATAGAGGTTAGCTATCAACTTCCTTCTTCTCTTGCTCTTGCTTCTTTTTGCCTTTTTCATTACTAATTTCCTGACTTTGTTTCAGCTTGCAAAGTTGCTATCTTTGCTGTTTTGCTGGTGAGTGCCTTGCTCCAAGAACGTTTAACTTAGTCCCTCTGCATCTGTTGAGCTTTTTTTTACAAAAAAATAATTGCTTTCTTTTTTTCCCTTGTTGCTTTGTCATTTTACTTAGTTATTGCCTTCTTTTTCCAGCAACAGTTTCTTTCTTTTCTTGCGCGCACCAGCTTAATGCCTTTACTTTTTTCATTGCACTCGGTATTAGCACGGGCTTATTTTTCCTTGTTCTGTTTCTTTTCACTATTAGCTTTTGTATGCTCGATTTTATCGTGGTACCGCCTGCTTTTCTCTGATTCTGCCCCGAAGCTTTTTTTGCAGCCAGACAGGTTAGTGTTTCTGGTTCTCCTCTCTTTCCTACTTCTTTTATATTTTGCTATCTATATTCCGTCTCTATCACTTGTATTTTCTGCTATGTGGTTGGTTGCATCTTCTTAGAGCCTCACTTCTTTGACTTGAATTGCGGGAGCTTATTTACTACTTCCCGAAACTTTTGGATGACTTTGTTGGGTTAACAAGGAGCTTTTCAACTCCTGTTCCTGTACTATTACTGCTGAAGGATGGAAATTATAGACAGCCTTGCATTTCATGCTGAACTACTTTTTGTTACTTATTTTATGTGTCCATTTCGTTTGTTTGCTGCTTATTTCCTAGCTGTTGGATTTCTTATCTTCCTGCTCGTTGCTTGCTTATTAATTTTAGCTTGGACATTTACAGACCTGTTTCCTTTTTTTGTGTTTTTATTTGTTCAATCTTGTGTAACACTTTTATATTACTTGCCGTTTGAATTAGCTAATATTGTTCATAAATTACAATTAAATTGGCCATTACTGGGCATAATTGCATTCGCACACCGCGCATCGCGCGGTGATCCTCCTCCTAGTTGAATTTGAAGTGTTCATAGGTTTAATCATGCTTTAGATAACAAGAGATCAATTCAGTTGTTTCAACGAGAGAGTTTTTGGTTCAAGAACAACCCTTTAACTTGTTACAGCTCCAAGATAGCTGCAAAAGTTCATCATTCTTGTCCTTCTTCCATCAAATTCAATCACTTTGTGGACATTGTAGGTGGTAACAGCAAATCCTTCCACGGAAAAAATGTACGTTCCTATGGATAAGCGCTAGTGCTCGTTTGGCAGGCCAGAGTTGTGTTCCAACTTCCAACAACAATTGGAACGTCTAATAGGCTCCAACGTCAAAATGTGTACCAAAGCGTAGAGTGAAACCAGAATCTTTCAAACTTGAACCTTTGTTCAAATAGACATTAATATCATAATGCCATAGATCTACTTCTTAATACTACATTCTTTTATTTTCCCGGCTGTGACTGATGTGGAAAGGGTATTACACATACACACACACATATATATATATATATATGTATATGTATATTCTCGACCCTTTGCAATTGTCGTAGATTTTGTCCAAATGCACAGTACTCAATTCTATGCAAAAGTGCTGCGAAAAGTAATGGTTGACCGAAGTGTTACTTCTTATTGCTTGCCTCTCGATCTTCAACTTAAGATCCTACGTATGAGCCTGAATATTCGCATCATCTTATTTTGCCACTAGGCATTGGAGATTGAAATGGCGGGCCATGTTGAAGTTGAATTATGCCTACTTTCGAGTCAGTGAACACTATAGACAGAATCAGAGGAACGACTTCATATACATCCGTTACGGGATTGTTGGGGGAGGGATTCTCCTTTTGTTTGGTTACTCTCTGGCCTACACAAATTTATGTCCGAAATGGGAAAAGAGCACTTGAAATGTCGTCAAAATTAATGACCAAAATCCACTTGAAAGGTAGTCGAAATTTGCGCATCTAAGGTTACACACAGTCACGCGCACAAGTGGCAAGGCTTTTTCAAAAGAAAAGAGTTGCCAGTTCTTCCTGTGTTTTCTTTTCTCTACCCAACATCAACAATTATACACTTCCAAATAAGTGAGTATCAACTGGATGGACATTCTGTATATATACAATTCCCCAGCTAAATAGAGCGTAAGTGTTTACTTTTCTTTAAATCTTTAAAATTTTTAAAAAAATCTATCTATAGTTAAGTACAATTACTGCGAAAATAACTAATAAAAACTAAATAAAGGAGCAATAAAACCCTCTTATCTTAATAGAACAAGAAAGAAATTATTGCTCTTTTATTTTTCAATAACTCTTATACAATAGAACTAACGGCTTATATATCTATTAGTTAGAGAAGCGGGTGCTATAGCAAAATTGATCGAAAGAGAGGATAATTCACCACTAGGGGTGGCCACGTTCAACCTTGAACTGGAACTGGGCCGGTGGTTTGTTAGACCGGAATTGGAATCAAATATTGGAAACCGAAATCGGAACCATAATTGTGACTAAAGGTTCAGATTCAGGTTTATCAAAAATTTGAACCGAACTAGAATAGATGGTTTAGTAAGTCTAGACCCCATATCTAATCTAAATTCAAGACCAATCCAATCTAATCAATAACAAAATATTTTTTTAATAAAACTTGCATAATTTTTTCTCTTTCTTACACATAATAATACAATACAATTCTTATATTTTCTATATTCATTGTCATATTTTTTTAGAATCAATTTTATAAGAACAAGTGTTTAAACATAATTAGAAGAACTCGAACTATAACGAAAAGAAACCAAAACCATAATCGGAACCAAAACTAGACCGGAACAGGACTCAAGAACTGTAACCATAACTGTCCCTATAAGGGTTAGTTCCTATTCTACCTTTTAGAAGTATTAGAACCGTCGATTTTTAAATCAGAAATTGTGGTTTTGGAACCATGGTCATGTTTAATCACCATATTAAAATTACCTTTTGGAGAGATCTGTCGTTTGACATCAACAACAATCTAATAAGTAGAGAATATTAGGGTGAACCAGAAAAGTGTAAGTAGAATTGGACCTAATCATTGACTAGGTAAACATCCTGTAGTAAGGAGAATAATCGTGAACCATGTACACTATCCTTGTGGATATCAAGCATCTTATCCGTTAGTTAGAGTAGCGGTTGCTATTGCTATAGCGAAACTGATTGAAAAAGAGGGTAAATCGCCACATTAAAATTACCCTTTGGGAAGGCCTATTTGATATCCAAAAACAAGTAGAGAATATTAGTGTAAACCAGAAAAGTTTAGTAGAACTGGATCTACGCACTGAATAAGTTTGCATAAAGGTGTATGTATACTAGGTCAGTGATAAATAAGTTAGGATGTCAAACCCAGAGTTAACAGTCAAAAACAAAATAATTTAGTGACATACAAGTCAATAGCAATAGTATTTTCTAAGTTGAATGTCAAAATTTACTTAATGGGTCATACTAAACAATATAGTAACCAAAGTACGAGACACAAATTGCTATGTAATTGCACTTTTCATCTGAGGGGGCATTGCTTACGCGGACATCGACATATAGTCAGTTACACAAAAATTCAGTGATGCACAGCATTGCTCATAATTAGGGAAAATGAAGCATGAGACGCGAAATATATGCTCAAAATAGTGTTTTACATGCTGTGTAGGTTTCTCAGTTTGATTATAAAAATCTGTTTCCTTCAAAATTCTATGTCTTTCTACACCAATGACTCGGCTATTTACCCTACAAATCAAATAAAAGAAAGGCCAAATAATTCAATCACTATCAGCAAATGACATCACTTGCTAATATGTGTTCTAGACAAAAATTTGAAATGAAAGGAGGATAAATGAATGAAGCGATTTTCTAATAGTGTTCAATGGGCATTTGTTAAAACAGCTAAATTACCCTTAATCTATCACATGAATGCACACATTAATAATTGTCATATTACCTTACATTATAAGCTTCCTCTATTTAACTTTTCATTTTTAAAATAGGGTTATTATGACTTTACTCCCGTAAACTATCATTACTATCAGTTTATCCCTAATGTTTTTTTTTATTCACTTCACTCCCATAAGTAATTCAATTCAACATATTAAGAAATTTTGGACAAAAATACCCTTTTACTCTATAACATTATTACATTGTTATTATCACTTTATCCCTTTACATTATACTGATACAATCGCTTTAATTCCTAACATTATTTTTTACATATTTTACCTCGTTATTAATCTGACTAGTGTGGTAAAATTTTTTAAAATATATTTATCCTTTTTTATATATAATTAAAAATAAAAAAATTGGAATGGTTATTCTTCCTTTATTTTTCACTTTAAGAGATCCAAAAACATAAAAATAAATGGGTTTTCTTAAATTTATTTTTCACACTTATTAATACTAGGAAAAGAAAAAAAGATAGGAAAGAAGGAAATAGAAAATTATATTTTACAAAGAAAGAAGACAAAAAAAATCTAACATTATCGTATTACTTTAAGGTTGTTGGGATTAGGATTGGAATTTGGTAATAAACAGAAAAGTGAAATAATTTTAAAATAATAAAAATATTTAATTCTTTTTTATTTGTATTTTTTTAAAAAATGAATTGACTCTCTCTCTCCCCCTCCCTACCCCCTCCCCATCTTTCTACTTTTTTCAATATTAATAAGATTGCAAAAAAGAAAGAGATTAATACTTTGGCTTTTTTTAATACTAAAAAGAAGAAGTGCCACTCTAAATTTTTTATTGTTTTGATTATTCAAAGAGAAGGGTAATTTTTTCTAAAGTTTTTTAACTTGTTAAGTTAGATTAATGATGGGATAAATTGCCTAAAAAATGAATTTAGGTGTAAATTGATAATGAGACTATAGTTTATGCGATAAAGTGATAATAATTTTAAGGGCTAAATATATCTTTTCATTTCAATTAACAAATTTAGTTAAGTTTCACCGTTAGTTTTGGAAGTAAAGTGATTAAAAGGTAACGTAAAGGAGGAAATTGATAGTGACATTGAACGTTAACGGGATAATGTGATAATAACCCTTTAAAATATTAATACATGAACTGTATTTTAATGAATATGAGCGTACGGAATCGTTAGACAAATCCATTAATAAAATTTATCTTCCCAATTGCTAGGGCGGGTTTCTAGGACCTCTATCATGGTTTGAAATGAGCAACTGAATCCATCACCAAATTTTGCCAATTCAACCCCAATCAAAACAGCCAGTTGATTGTCTCTGAGTAGCAATTATTCCTATTCTCAAATAATTTATTGAACCTACATTTAGCATCTAATTCTAGAAAATCAATTATGTAATGTTATCAGCTATTTTTTGAAAGCTGATTAATTTCTTAGAAAGGTAAAATTAGAAGTTAGAAAGTACTTGCTTTTACGGTTCTGATTTTGGCTTTTTTAAAAAATCAGCTTTTAAGAGAATATGTTGAGAACAGGCCGGTATATATGCCGCTATGAGATATCAGGAGTTCTTATCCCAAGACACTCCAAATCCATTCCTCTTCTTCTTTTCCCCCATTTTCTTTAATTTTTTTGGATAGGAATTCTAGGAAATGAGACATAAATTTATTTTGTTTCTTTTACACCAGGAAGGCTCCAAGCCTTACATGGGAATGGCGAAAGGGGCAAGTTACTTTTGAGGTGCATTCCTGCTGAAGGATCGGCTTCTCAAATGGGGCACTCCTACTGATGGATGGTGCTCCTTATATGCAAAGGAGAAGGAATCTGTTGAACACCAAAAAAAATTACCTTTTAGGTGAACAAAGTCACAAAAGATTGGGTTTCCAAGTAGTTTTTGAAATTCTTCATACTCTTTCTTTCATCTCTCCATTTA